ATTATTTGCACCCTGCAATGACTGAGCACTGATTACTACAAATCAATAACAAAATCTTTAGTACCTATCTCAGGTTACCTCATCAAAAAGGCCTTCTCTAGTTCCCTTAACAATGGCTACATCCTACTTAGGCTGGCGAATTTCTAACCATAACAAGCTCAATTTTAAAACATTTATCAATATATATATATATATATATTTACTTACACATATCCGTATCCTGTTTTTAAGTTTTACCTAATTTTAATTTTTTTTTAATTACGGTATTCCAATTGAACCTTTAACATTCCGTAAGATTTACATTTCGGGTAACCCAAAAGTAACATAAAAGTAGTGAAAGAGGAGAGTGGGGAGGGTCTGTGCTGGGATTGGGGCTCCTAGTGTCTTCCGCTGCCTGCCCGTGCACTTCTGCCGCAGATGCCACGACTCCGCTTGCTGGCACATGTAGGGAGTGGGTTTTTATACCCTCTGGAGCCTTTTGTTTGGAGCTGTTCCTGTGGCGTGAACTTTGACCTGAGTCGGAGTCTGCCTTTCTGGTATTCTGATAATGGTGGGTCAATCCTATTAAGTCCCAAAGGTCATATCCTGCTTCCCTGGGGCTGGGGCCGACGACTCTTAGATTTTTGGTGTGAGGGATTGTTGATTCTAGGGATCTTTCTTCCTGATCCCAGTTTCCCGACTCCAGTCTTTCTGACAAGATTATCACGTCGGCATTTCTGCAGACTTGGTTTCTGTTTGGGACAGTTGGGGGGGGGGTTGGTTTCTGCCGTTAAATCCTTTAGGGAAATCTATTGTCTTTTAAATGTTTCCAAAAAGATTTCTTTCTCTGAGGGAGGGGGGCTGACTTCCCACACCCATCAGCTCCGGAGAAAGGTTCATCTTTGAAAAGCGACCAAAAGTGAAACCGAGGAACCGATAACAGTTGGTGGAAAGACCCGCCTTCTCCCAGCTGTGCCCGGGTGGAACCCGGACAAGGTCCCGTTTTATATCCCTGTTTGTACAGAACCCAGCAGAAACCTCAGAAAAGGAGAAAGCCCCCTCCCCAAATTACCTAGAACTCCCCCCAACAACAACAGAGGTGCTTCTGTGTCCCACTTGTAGCTACGTCTCCTCCCCCCACTTCTCTGCCTTCCTTTGCTAACCAGGAAGAAGCGATCCTGAGCGATTCAGCCATCCGGTTCCTAATGAGTGGATCTCGGCTAGTAACCTCCGGCCATTCGCCTCCCCCCCGATTGACTGTCCTAACATGAGGGTCTCGGCTGTCCCACCCACCCATTGGGGTCTCCCAGAGAGGAGGGACCCCCTGTAAACGGGCAGAAAGAGCATCGCCCGCCCCCAGTTCCACTTTGCCATTTGATTCTACTCGATGACACGCTGATCCCGTACCTTGGGCACCTTGGGCAGCCGGATGACGTAGTGTCCTCCCCTGTTCTCCGAAACGACTCTCTGCACCGTCCCCATCAGCTCCGAGACCTGCGCCTGCCACTCGACTCCTGTCGCCTTGTTGTTGAAGCCACAGAAACGATTCCCGCACTGTTGGATCAGCTCCCGCAGATTGCGGTTGTTGGAATTTCGGACGTACTCCTGCAGGGATTCCCCTCTCAAATCCTCCTTGCAGGTGAAGAGGACGATCGTGTACCTGGCGGACTCGTCCCCAAAGATATCCCGGACACGCTTTGCAGCTGTCACATCTTCGGCAGCGAAGCATCCCACCTGGGTCACAAAGATCAGGACGTGGGGGCCAGGCAGGGAGAGTTCGACGCAAGTCCCGATCTCGTGTTGCATACTGTGGTTTTCAGAATCGAAAATGTTGGGTGTGTCGACCACGGAGACCTTCCTGTCCTGCCAGCTTCCTTGACCCCTTTCGCACTTCAGGGTGGTGGTGTTTGGCTGCAGGATGGACTTGAACACCGACCGGCCGAGGATGGTGTTGCCCGTGGCGCTCTTCCCACCTCCAGTCTTCCCCACCAGGATCAGTCGGAGTTCGGCATCCTTTCCTGTGAGTTTGGAAGATGACGTTACAAAAAGGAATCGAGATATTTCTTACAATATGTCGGGGTGTCATTGAGCAAGCTCGAAGTGGGGACAACTTTGGAAAAGAATCACCCCTGCCCAGAAGTGGTTCAGTGATATTTTCATATGAATCTCTCAGAGTTGCTAAAATGGGCTGCTCAGCGGTGCAGATTCCCCGAGCGTGCGAATCCCACTTTAGCAGATGTCCAAATACAGCCACTGTGTCCAGCCCCCACGAGCAAAGCTGGAGCCAAGCAAATTGAGACTGAGCTGTGAGGAGGCTCAGGGCTGCTACTGTGTGCTGCCTAACGATGGGCCCAAGCCAGGGTACGGGCATAATATTGGAAGAGACCTCAGAGGTCTTCTAGTCCGATCTCCTGCTCAACAGCCTCTACTCCATCACCATGATCGCTGGTGGCCCACTGGGTAGAATGCAGCATTGCCGGCAAACTCTGCCCACCACGAGTTCGATGCTGACCGGCTCAAGGTTGACTCAGCTCTTCTGTCCTTCCGTGGTCGCTAAAATGTGGGGGGCCAATAAGGCGACTCTGTAAACCGCTTAGAGGGGGCTCTGAAGTACTGTGAAGCAATATATAAGTGCTATTGCTAAGGGAGGTGGAACATATGAGCCTAGGGGTGTGAGAATCCGATTAAAGCCAGGACGAAACGTTTAGGGCAGGGCTGTCAAACTGCAAGCCCGCGGGCTGGACACATTATTTGGAAACCGCGCCCACCCCATTGCCAGCAAAACAGTCCCGATACATCTCACAACGTCATGTGACGTCGCAAGTTTGACATGTCTGGTTTAAGGGGACCTGGTGTGGAAGGAGAAAGACCAGCGGGAACTTGTTGCGGAAGGGAAATGCTTGAAGTGACCACGTGGCGGGATGGGTAGAATAGGTGGGGGGGTACTGCAGTGTCCTTGTGGTCAGTCACAAGAGCAAATGACCATTGGGGTGCTGCAGGGACTGTAATTTTCAGGATCGGATCTTAAGTAACTTTTTTGGGGGGGGATCCACCATAATGTAAAACAGCTGTTAAGACAGGGGTCCCCAACCCCCGGTCCCTGAACCGCCACTGGTTCACAGCACGCCGGCAACCGGGCCACGCAAATAAGCGAAGCACATGAAACCAGCATACCCCCCGGTCCACAAAAAAACCCCTCTCCAAGGAACCGGTCCCTGGTACCCAAACGTTTGGGGGCCACTGTGCTAAGAGACCCGTCCTACGTCAAAGTCTCCCTGTTGCCATACCTTCCATCGTCACTTCTTTGCGTTCTCCATCTGCAGGACAAAGAAGAGCATCAATTACGGAATCTGGAACTGGATAGTAGCCGGGGATGTGTGTTGGTGTGTGCGTATTTCATCCAGACTGATACCTTAGCTTGTGTTTGGCTCTAGGTTTCAGGCAGCACCTAGTCTGCCTCAAGACCAGGATAGGAGGAGGAGGAGGAGGAGGAGGAGGAGGAGGAGGAGGAATGGGGGTCCTCGGTGGTCCTCTGAGCTGGGTGGTTTTCTTGCAGACGTTTCATGACCCAGTGTAGGTAACGTGAGCAGTGCTAGTGAGGAGTGGCAGCCCCCCAAATACTGGAATCCTGCTATCTAGTCGTCCCCCCATCATTCCTTCTTTTCCCTAGACTGGCCAAACCCAATTCCTGCACCCGTTCTTCCGATGTTTTAGCCTCCAGCCTCCTAATCTTCTTTCTTGCTCTTCAGCCCCCCAAATGCCAGACGTGGCCTCCTCACTTACCTGGCTTGGCCTTCTCATCCGTATCTGCCTGGAAGAGTGGAAAGGAAACACGGGTCAGACAGGGCTCTCGACTCCCAGAGGCCTCAGCGTGTCCAGTGGGGCAGGGAGCCAGCTGCCACCCTGTTCATGCCCAGAAACCGCAGAAACCACCCCATTCAAGACATCGCCGAAAAGCTGCTCTGGAGCCCCCCAGCCAGTGGTGGGATTCAGCCGGTTCGCACCACCGGTAGCTAATTTTTTGTTGCCCAGCCCCAGAATTGACTTTTGGAAGCGGCATCCACACAGAGAACCGGTTGTTCACATATTGGAATCCCACCACTGCCCCCAGCTAACCGGGGGGAGGGGTTCAGATGTTCTGAAGGGACCAAGGAAGGGAGGAAAGGAGGGGCAGGGAGGGAGGGGGAGAGGGAAGGGATGGCAGGGGACACAGGTGGAAGAGAAAAAGGGGAAGTAGAGCTGGGGGACCCCTTTCTTGGCGGGCATTGCATGCTCTCCACCCATTAACCACCCTTCTCCCTCCCCGATTGTCCTAACATGAGCGTCTCTGCTGTCCCACCCACCCATTGGGGTCTCCCAGAGAGGAGAGACCCCTTGTTCTCGTGTAAACGGAGCAGCTCTGCCAGATGCCCGGAAAGAGCGCTGCCCACGCCCAGTTCCACGCTGCCATTTGATTCCGCTCTGTGGCATGCTGCTCCCGTACCATGGGGAGGTCGTACATCCAGCTGACGTAGTGTCTCCCCCCGTTCTCCGAAATGACACTGTGCACCATCTCCATCAGCTCCGAGACCTGCGCCTGCCACTCGACTCCTGTGGCCTTGTTGTTGAAGCCACAGAAACGATTCCCGCACTGTTGGATCAGCTCCCGCAGATTGCGGTTCTTGGAATTTTGGACGTACTCCTGCAGGGATTCCCCTCTCAAATCCTCCTTGAAGGTGAAGAGGACGATCGTGTGCCTGGCCG